TGAAAGCAACCAATACCTTAAGCTTTCAGGGAAATATTAATAGGAGTCTAGTAAACCATGTACGGTATCAAAGCCCTATCACACAAAAATTTTATGAACAGAAACAATGAAAAATTATGATATAATAATACTGATTGAATAATTTAACCATTTAACCATGCTGTTTTTTTAAAACCAATGTCATTTTTAAAATGCATTAATTTATGTTGAAAAAAAAACTTTTTCATTTATCTGAATTTATTAGTTTCGTAAAATAAAGCTAATTGTACAAAACAAACCGAAATAAGAGATCATTCATTACATATCAATTTTGAATTCTTTGAATTACAAAATCAGATCACAGTATAACATTTAAAATAATTAACACATCAAAGTAACAATTAATCAAAAATTCAAAACTAACAGAATTACTACTCCGTTAAACTGGAGATATACACCAGCTTTTTAAAGATAATGCTGCCATAGTATAGGTAATACTGCCATGGTACCATGGTATAAATTATACTGGTGTGGTATATATTATACTGGTGTGGTATAGATTATAGTGGTGTGATATAGATTATACTCGCACAGTATAGATTTTACTGGCGTGGCATAGCTTATACTGGTGTGGTATAGATAATACTCGCAAAGTATAGAGAATACTGCCATGTTGTAGATTATACTGGTGTGGTACAGATTATACTAGTGTGGTATAGCTTATACTCGCAAAGTATAGGTTATACTCGTGTGGTATAGATTATACTGGCGTGGTATAGATTATACTGGTGTCGTATAGATTATACTGGTGTAATATAGATTATACTCGCAAAGTATAATCTATACCACACCAGTATAACCTATACTGGTGTGGTATAGATTATACTCGCAAAGTATAGGTTATACTGGTGTGGTATAGATTATACTGGTGTGATATAGATTATACTCGCAAAGTATAGATTTTACTGGCGTGGCATAGCTTATACTGGTGTGGTATAGATAATACTCGCAAAGTATAGAGAATACTGCCATGTTATAGATTATACTGGTGTGGTATAGATTATACTCGCAAAGTATAGATTATACTGGCGTGGTATAGACTATACTGGTGTGGTATAGATTATACTCGCTTATTATAGATTAAACTCGCATAGTTTAGCTTATACTGGCGTGGTATATATTATACTTGCATAGCAAATATTATACGGGCGTAGTAAATATTATGCTGCCATGGTATAGCTTATACAGGCGTAGTATATATTATACGGGCGTAGTATAGATTATACTGGAGTGGTATTATTGAACATAATGTGAAATCTCGTGATAGAAGGACACGTGATATCATAGGCATACGCCTTTGAGCATTAAAAATTGATGGCATGTCGAACGCAACAGAATCACACGCCTCGAACAGTGTAAGCAATAAGACATCATATAAAAGCACTTAATCTGTAACAAATTTTCTTTTTAAACGAAATATGCAACTGAAATGGTAATACGCACAGGTTTACGATTGTTGTGTTTTCTTCCGGCATTCGAAGTACCATTTCAAGAAATGTTGCTATCTTTATTAAGTTTATATATCCACAGCATAGCTTATATTGTTTCTCTAGCTTTTTTACTTCCACAGTACTGCGCATATGCACTGTATACGTGTTAAACATGTCAAGATGTGTTCTGTTTCCAATACCAGGAGCTGAGAACAGTAATATATATCACGTGATCATCGTTTCAATCTCCATAACAGTCTGACGTGTTTTTGCGAGAGAGTAAACGACCTTTTATGTACATCGTCTTCTACACATGTTATCATATTCTGTGATACGAAAGCAGAAAGCGAACAAATAACACAGAAAATAACAAAACAATAAATAAACAAACTAGATACAAATTGGTTTCTATGAATTATACTGACAATTCGAATATTACTTTCGAATACGGCGTAATAATACATGTATGAATAAGAAAAAAACACATCTTTTTAAAGCAGATCAATGTATATCATTTTCTCCAACACCTGTACTGAAAAGGAAATAACTTGAAAGAAATATATGGCAATAACCAATCACAATTTTGTAGTGTATAGAAACAATATCAATGTATATGAATTTATGAACATGAATTTATGTGTTTGAGCGCTTGTGCTAAAAAAAGAATATATGTCTATCAGGGTACAGTGTTTCCAAGCCGGTGATTATTTATGAAATCTTACAGGGAATTTGAATGAACTGTCTGTTGGAATAGGAATCAATATGGTTATTTGTACAATGTAACACAATTAAATTTCTGTGACGTGTATTGGAATCAACCGTCTGTAGGGTGTGTAGTAAGAATATCTGTACAGGGAAACAACAGATTGTACTGTCAATTAGAAACAAGAGAATCATCTGTACGGGGAAACAACAGATTGTACTGTCAATTAGAAACAACAGAATTATCTGTTCAGGGAACAACAGGTTGAACTGTCAATTAGAAACAACAGAAATATCTGCACATGGAAACAACAGGTTGTACTGTCAATTAGAAAAAAACAGAATTATCTGTACAAGGAAACAACAGGTTGTACTGTCATTTAGAAAAAAACAGAATTATCTGTACAAGGAAACAACAGGTTGTACTGTCAATTCGAAACAACAGAAATATCTGTTCAGGGATCAACAGGTTGTACTGTAAATTAGAAACAACAGAAATATCTGCACATGTAAACAACAGGTTGTACTGTCAATCAGAAACAACAGAAATATCTGTTCAGGGAACAACAGGTTGTACTGTCAATTATAAACAACAGAAATATCTGTTCAGGCAACAACAGGTTGAACTGTCAATTTGAAACAACAGAAATATCTGCACATGGAAACAACAGGTTGTACTGTCAATTAGAAAAAACAGAATTATCTGTACAAGGAAACAACAGGTTGTACTGTCAATTAGAAACAACAGAAATATCTGTTCAGGTAACAACAGGTTGTACCGTCAATTATAAACAACAGAATTATCTGTTCAGGGAACAACAGGTTCTACTGTCAATTAGAAACACCAGACATATCTGTTCAGGGAAACAACAGGCTGTACTGTCAATTAGAAACAACAGAAATATCTGTTCAGGGAACAACAGATTGTACAGTCAATTAGAAATAACAGATATGTCTGTACTGGGAATAACAGGTTGTTCTGTCAATTAAAATCAACAAAATTATCTGTACAGAGAAACAACAGGTTGAACTGTCAATTAGAAACAACAGAATTATTTTTAGAGGGAAACAACAGGTTGAACTGTCAATTAGAATCAATAGAATCATCTGTACAGAGTATTAAAATCAACGTGTACAGGATATTGCTGTTAGCAGGTGGCATAGCTACTTGACTATGTAAAAGGAGAAAATATGAGCTGTTATTGCCAAAAGGTAACATTATAATACAGGACTTGCAAGCAACCTGAGTTGTAGTTGTTTTTCGTTTTTGAGACGTAAAGTGGAAATAATCATGTTAACGAATAATGTTTTGAAAATAGGCACGAAAACAATTAAAATAATTTGTTTCAAATTGAATGAAATATAATGTCTTCACCTTATAACCTAATGACATTTACATCATGAAGGGAATTAATTTTGATTCTGGTAAAGTTCAGTCTGTAGAAGAATATATTTGAAATTTTGGTTGCTTTTTCTTTTGGTCCCAGCCTTCCCTTGGGATCTCGGCATGAATCCCAATTTCATTATGAGAGACCGTTTCCACAAAAAAAAAATGAAAACGCTAAACCATGCTAATTCACACATTTAAAAAAAATGCTAAGTTTCCATCGGTTTGAGACAGATCTTGATTAATTGGACATGAGTTCGACTCCCGCTCGAGTTGGTTTCCACACTGATACAAGAACAGTGTGATGCTCCTCTTTTTAACACGAGTTTAGACAACATTTGTACGATCTGTGTACAACACTTTCTCAACAACCGAAGACTTGCTTATAAGTTTATGCGAGTCGAGTCGAGTTCTGGCACATTTGTACGAGGTTTGGACGAGCTGTTAGGAGTGAACTACGAGAAATGTACGACTTACGGTGATTTTTGGCAACTTGAATACAAATTCTGGTAGTCCTGACCGCAGCAACCTTTGTTTGCTGGAACCTTCCACTTTGGGCGCATGATTGACCAAATGATGTGGAGTCTACTGATGCTGATACAAAATGTGCACAACCCTTTATTAAGCACTGTAACTCGCCAGAACTCGTTCCAATGAAGCGGAAATGTCGAACTGAACACGTACAAATTTGTACAGTTGTTGGAAAAAGTCGTACAAACTCGTTTTATGTCGGGGACATGTTGTGTAGAGATCGTATTCATGTGTTCCAAAATTCGCAGCTAAAATCGAAGCATGTCAAACGACTCTTTAACCGACGACAAGTGTGGACATGTCCACAACAACCCGTGACAGTGTGACCAGGCCTTAAATGATACGAAACAATACAATCAAATATACACATTACACTCTCACTATATCAGGGGAAAAGTTCTCAACTGATATGTCCTTACAGATTTGTAACAGTTGACTTTTATCGATTTGAACATGGCACCAAACCTATCCACATTGTCTTTGACTAATCACTAACGGATCGTTACAACGCCATACATGGTGTTGTCTTGTCATGTTTAAATTAGTCAAAAGTTTGTCCAATTCATATACAGGATTACATAGATATACGCTGGCGCTGTACTTGAGTTTTCTTTTCTTCGGCGGTCTTGAATCTTCCTAATCCTCATGTCTGCAACATAGGAATGTTTTATACATTAAATCGTTTACTGGAGGTTAATGTATATATAGTCTGTTGGTTTTAGGACGAACATATAAAACTTGACAGTCTAGTTTTAAAGTCTTAAAACTACACTCGCGTATCTTTCAATATATTTGCATACGGTTGTTTAAAACTTTACCTGACATATCTTTCACCAGATTCTCTTCTGGATGTAACCTCTTTTTTTTGGGGGGGNCTGGGGACTCGCTCAGATTAACACGACTGAGTGTGCTCAGTGGTTAGCACAGCTTGTATATATTTGTAGAATTGAAATACACAACATGTGCTCTATACTTAAATTCACAGAAATTCACTCATACATACATTACGGGCAAACCGGTCAATAACTCTTCGGCTAATTTTGTGGAGAATATTAAACCCTCTCGGATGGCATGTGTATATTTACATCTGTCCTACAGTTTGTGAGAGAATCAACTATTTTTCTCTTGATTGATCTTTTCTTATATGACTTTCCATGTCTTCAACCTGTATGTTTATATACGTGATATATGATCTTAGGAAAAAGGCTCTCGATAGGATTTTTGCCCCATTCCATTGCAATTCATGACCAGAATAAAGTAGGAAAACAAGCATCGAGACCCTGGGATACCTAAACAAGAGACCAAGGGAGGACCGATTGGATTCCCCAGGTCAAGTCTCGGGGCGAAACGTCTTGGGGGGTGGGGGGGATACTGTAGCAGCCGCGGAATATGTGGGAAATACTGCATTACTGGCAAATAAGTTTTTTTCTACCTGAACGACTCCGGGGACTTGCTAAGTTTTTAACAACTTCGAGTGTGATCACTAGCACGTTACCGTTCCGACCTGGATTGAGCTGTGAAAACGCCATTATGTCAGACTGTTATGCTTTTACCGAGGAAAGGACAGTAAACTATTGTGAAATTATAGTTGACACTAGGCTTAGGAAGAAGGATAATCATTCCTGTCAAAAACAGAGAGAGGTTCGCACAGAGGAGCTTTTTATTTTAAGCGCTAAAAACTAAACGAGATTCAAGTAGATTTCCTACTTTATATTACTGAACAGCTAATCATTACCGATATATCTAAATAGGACAAAAAAGAAGCGGATATATATGTAATCTCGTATATATAATAGTCATTATAGGCGGTTTAATTTTGCTTTATAAAGTCACAAACACAGGTCAGCAACGAATGATCGACATTATGTCCCCCATCTGCGTTAAGTAATCTAGCGAAATATTCTTCTAGAGCTTATAAACATTAACCTGATATTGTACGTAACATTTTCTACAAGACGACTATATGCTGAATGTCACAAGAACTTTCAATTACTACTAGATCCTGAAGTCTGACCTCGTTAGTAGGTCCAGCTCGCAATCTATGACGTCACTGTTGACCCCGAATTCTCGGAAAGCCTCCGATATATCTCCCAACATTTCCGTCTCTGACTTGTGTGCGGGATAGGTGTTTCGCCAGTGAATCAACGCTGTCGTTATCTGGACGAGGGCACAATTCGGATGATCCATTTTTATCCTGTCAAGTTTGCTCCTTTCAACGGTTAGGTACATCAGAATGCATTCCCAATTTGCTCCAAGCTTTTCTGCAACTTTGTCCTGTAGACCCTTGTCAGTCAGCATCTTGCTAGCTTGAAACAAGAGAAATTTGCATTGATTCAACCAGTTGAACATTGTACATTGTTGGTCTAAGAAAACTATCTTGGAGTCAGTAAATGTAATTAGGTAAATATGATCAAAATTACTTTACAGAACATTTAGACAGCAATACGAAATAACCCGTGTTAGTTAAGTACTATCTTATGTTCAAGAGTAAATCTTATAAATCCTAGTATTTGAAGGTAGCTTTAAACAAGTGCTATATAAGGCAGGTTTGACTGTATCCATTAAACACGGCCACTTAAGGTACCAATTACAGCCGTGTTCAATCATTGAAATTCTACTGTAACGACGTACGGATATACATATCAAAAACTGATGTATATATCACGTACATAAACACTTACCATATGATCTAGTTGTGATACCGCTCTCTATATTCTAGGAAGAAAGAAAAACGCATTAGTTGAAAGCGAAAGTAAGTCAATATTTTCACTAAAACATTGTTATTTTCAAACAGTTTAACATGCATAAAAATGTCATCCACATTTCATAACACAAGAATATATTTTTAAAAATATTCTAAATTGGAAATTAGTGCAAATTCACCGAATAAAAGATGTGGCTTTTATACAACTTAACAAGTTTACCTGGTAAGTTACCTTTGTCTCAGAGGGAACTGGAAACCATACGTGCCAGTCACGTTTTGTGAGAGTGTGTTTCCCTGAACAGTCTTCCCCCTGACAGGGCAGTCCGCTCACTGTCCTAACTATCCCGTCTTCCTCTCGCGGATTGTCGGAAGGTTTCAGATAGAATCTACAGTGAAGTTTGTACCTGTACTCCAGGTGTTCCTGGCGGCTAACCTCTAGAGTGTGTTGTATGATTGTCTCCAGTTTCTGTCTAACCTTCCTCCCGGTGTCGTCAGGAATCTGTGGTTCTGAAGTCGTAAACAGCGTGACCGCTATCATAGACTGTTCCCACTGCATCCTAACGACCATGTTACAGAGATCGTCTATCTTGAAGCAGCCAAGACCTTTGTAGACGCGTAGAACTTGCAGTTCCCGGTTGGGACTATTTCCGGACGTTTTCTCCGCTAGTCTGAACGTCTTGATGATTCCGGCGTATATCCGGTCGAACAATTCCTGGGGAGTAAATGCATCCTCAAATACGAAGCACAGTGTTCGTGAACAAACTTCTCCCTTGAGAACATTTGAGATTTGATACATGTCTGGTGCCTTTTGGAGTTTGCTCGGTACGGTGTAGTCATCATCGTATAGTGGTTTCCCCTCCATGTCCTGACCAAGACACGCCTTTACCAGGAGACCGAACTCTTCAAGGAAGGCGAATAGAATGTCGACATGCTGAATGTACGAATTATCTTCTTTAGATTGCCATAGCATCTTTGCTAGATTTACTGTCAGGATGGCGTTTCTTGTGTATTTGATGAGGTCAGCTTTGAGGAGGAGGTCGTCGGTAGGGAGGAACTTTTCGTCCGTGAGGATTTCCCGGAAAGCGTTGATGACCCACTGTGGGTTAATTATCACTTTTCCATACTTTCGATAATACAGTACAGATCTTGTTGAATGAAGGTACCTGAAAAACAGTAACGCTATTAGAACAATTATAATTTGAGAACAGCAGAAAAAGGCAAAGAGAAAACCATTTTCCAAACACGCATGTCGAGTCGGTCATCGAACCAAACATATTTACTTTGCACACACCTTTAAAAGCTTTTAACTGATAATAAATTTACATGAAATACGCATACTTTTCAACATTTGATATTTTTTATGAACTCAGTATTTTAATCACGTTATCATACTCAAGAAACATCTTGATTTCCTCCTCGTCACCAATAGAAGATTCACACTGTACATCCATGTCTTGGATCTCTTGAAATGTCAAAACGTGTTTCCATTTCCGTTTTTTCAGAATCTCCCTCTCCAGGGCGAGCCACGTCGCTGGCAGTTCACGTTCCCACTGGTCCTGGTAGGCCGCTGCTTCCAGGATATGTCCCTTGATCTTCGCCAATGCTGGGTCATCGTCAATAGAGTTATCAACCTCGCAAAATCTAAGAAACACAAACCCTTCTGCTTTCTTTACATGTGTAAGTTCAGTGATGCTACATATGTCTATCCGCATGTTCTCCAGCATTGTTTTGTTCTCCTCAGGACTTTCATTCTACAAAAAGAAATCATATTCGCACTCAACCATACTAGCAGAGAAGTTCATCATGTGATGATAATGAATTATTGTGGAGAAATTCAGACCCAATGATGAACCTTTGAGGAGGTGAATGTTCTAAGGACGTGCTTTGAATCATCACTTTACTCTCACGTGCGGTCGTGTAAGATAAACTTCACCCATGCAAGATAACCTTGCCTGCCACTGTTATCTTAAACGTGTACATGTACCAGTGTAAACAAGAAAACTTCTGTGCCTAAAGAAGCAATAGGAATGGAGGATACTCGGCCATCAATGAATGTCAGCGCCGATATTAACGATTTTATTGAGAGAAAAAAAACGAGAATAAGAATTCGGCTACCAAAATAGCCAGCACCTGTAGCTATTGTCAAGTTTCCTCACGGCACATTACAAAAATAAAAATAAACGTATCATCCATGTTATCTCCAACACTGAGCTTGACAAATGTCCTTCAAGTTGCATTGTTTCGTTGACAACTAAAGACAAAAAGGAATATGAACCAGTAAACTTTTGACGGTGACAGGTAATTTTGTTAAAAAAAAAAGAAGGGGGGAAACTGTGATTATACCATCATTTGTTTGGGAGTTGAATTTTCAAAAAACACGTGATGCCCTAAAGGCTGCACAATATAATCTAAGGCCATAAACGTGCTGACCCACTCCAGGACAGCGATATAGACAAAGCATATGAAAGCTGATGTGCATTTCTTGTTGTAGGAAATTCGAATTGCATTATTGTGGCCTTGAACTACAGGTCACTACCGCAATATATCGTTCCAGAGTACATGGTAAACCTTTACATAGGAAGTTTAAATCACTCTGTCCGTGGCAGAAATATAACAACAGCACCCTGTCTTACCTCAAACCTGATGTTGACCTGGTCCATGTGTGTGCCAACCACGATGATCGGTGGATGATGTGGGCGCTGTTTACTCGGATTGTACACGCGGGAAGAGTAGGCTCCGATGTTACGGACCCAGTTTTTCAGTCTTACTGTTTGCGAAAATAATGGTTGCGAGTTATATTAGTTCCCTCAGTAAATAAGAGTCAAAAGACTATTGTAATGTCAATTTTAGAAAAAAAGAAACAATGCCTCAACAAGTTTTTTCGATCGATCAATCTTCATATAGCCTACGCTTTCCTTCCTATTCATAAAACTGGATATTTACAGCTGGACTACTGCGTTATTATGAATTGTTTTAATTCATGTGGAAAAAGACATCAATATGTCTTGATTGTTTGCGCCAAATCCCTCTGTTGTATTATAAGTTGTTTAAACTTAAATAAACATTTTCTGACAATCCCATAAAACACTTAGTTTTTAACATAAAATTGTTTCTAATTGTATTTTTTAAAATATATTACTTATCTTATTCAACATTTGTAAACAATGGATCAAAAATATTCTGACTAACTTGTAATTTGGCGATTACTCACTAAATATCCAACTTTATTTCAACAATCACAAAACAATGCTGCTGTTATTATTTTACAAACACTCCTCAAAAACGTTTCTCGATCAGAACTTTTGACTTTCCACATTATCCACTACCATACACCATACCTAACTGAAAACACCTCTTTGTTTCCTATTATGTGAGCATGCATTATAAGAAAGCTAACGGCGGTGCCAATACATGGCTGTAAACTATTTTTAACCATTTCTAAACATTTTATTTTTTCATGTTGGTAAGTATGGATTGTAGAACGGTTCATGTAGCACAACCAGTAAGTGTTCTTATGTGATGTCTCGATGTATCTCGATTTATGCATGTCACCTTTATCAGATAAATGACAGGTGAAGCGGATGCACACAAAGGTACAATATATGTATGAATTTGTAATAAAGAATCGACATCTATTCGGCGACACAAAGAGGTTACCTAGCTGGTTACGCTACATGAATATTATTTAATAAAATGTTTGTATCTGGTATATTGTTTTCAGTAATCCAATCATCCGTCGTATATTACTTTTTTAAATTTCATTTCAGTAAATATACACAGTTGTTAAAGCTTAGTATTTTTTTGTTTTCCTTTACTTCAGGTTCAATATTACATGTATTACAGTAGTGTACCTTAAACATTCGTATTACATCTGGAATGTTATTTTTCCTGTTATTTTCATCGTCTTTACTAAAAACAATTTTTGAATTCCTTTTTCAGTCAGTTTTGTATTTGCATTTTAATACTTCCAATGACTTACAGGGTTTTTTCTCCCCTTCAGTTTTATATTGACATCTTGATATATTTTTACCTCCTTGATCTTAAGTTTTTTTTCTGATCAATTTTCCAAGACTTTTATTTGTTCTTTCGTTTTAATTTTTTTACTCATATTTTTTTTCTCCTCGTAGTTGTATTTTTACCAAAAAATCGTTTTAATGTTTTTTTCGATTTTGTTATTTGTAAAAGATAATCATTGCATCTATTATGATGATTTAAAAATCCGTTTCCTTCCTTTATATAATTAACCTTTCCTGTACTCTTAAATATAATACTTATGAAATCATTTTAAGAAAATACATTAGATGTCATATGCTGATAAGGTATGTTTTAAAAGAAATAAGATAACTTATTGAGATGTCTGCATTTATATATAAATGCTTGGATTGCTATCATAATTACTTACCCATCTGCATGTCGTCAGTGAAGTAGTCTATGGCCCTGAATGTGACGATGTAGACTCCGTGGGCGCTGACGAACACAGAGTTGGTAGCCTGGAAGGCCAGGTCCCCGCCCATGTCCCACATGGACAGGAAGGCCACGCCCTCATCTTGTTGGCGTGACTGATGGTAAACCTCGTCCGACTCGTCTTCACGTGTGATCTCGGCCATTTTCCGGTTAATATTGTGTCTCTCCTGATTACCTATGATCATATTTCAACACGAATTTTCAACATCGTTATTTCACATGGTTGAAGCTGTAAAGGTTATTAAATGTGGAAAAAAATAAGAGTAACCGGGTATTATATGGATATTGTATATTTTGTTCAACAATTTGCAACTGTCGATTGAATATCAATTATTATACTATACATAAGATTTATGCCTAGCCTAAAAGATCAGTTAATAACATTCATGTACGTTGCATTTAATCAACTTCATACTCTTCTGTTTCGAATCAGATATATAAAACGAATCTAAAAGTTGGTATTGCACCTAGCTGAGCATCACAAATGACTTCACAACAATAGCATTTTCATTTTGTCCAGAAAAGGAAACATTTTGATCCATCATTAATCAAATTACTTACTAGCAAAAGTTCAGCCATTTGTATTTGACCTTTATATGTAGTAATTTTAGTTCGTACAAACACGCCACAAATAAACTTGTTTGGTCAACAGACTCATGCTGTTTCTATTAAATATAGAATATTACCAGGTGATTTGTATCAGAAATAGGTAACATATATTTAAGTCCAATACCCAGACAAATGATGTCGGGGTGCTGTATTCAGTGTACTTTACCTTTAAATATACGTTCTGTGATTCGTCGGACACCGACAGCTAGGAGGATCGCCCACAGAACGACACGGAAATATGGCAGCATGACGTTATTGCCAACTAAAGTAAGACATAAAGTTTAGTTTTATTTATAACGAATTGTATTTGAATTTGTTCTTTTTTATGGCACCTATTTGGTTCCCATATACACATTAATGCCACTTATTGGTTCTAGAAAAAAAGGCTTGAGACAATAACTAGTTCCCCGTATAGGTGTTTGTGACACTAACGAGTTTCCAGTGTACAGGTAGGTGACTAGTTTTCCGTACAGACATGCGTACATAAACACAAACATGCATGCATGCATGCATGCAGTCATACTTATCATACATATGTAACATACATACATACATACATACATACATACATACATACATACACACATACATACATACATACACGCATACCCACTACGCACATAGGCATGTATGCACCCACACACACACATACATAGTTTACATACATACGCACATACACATCTCCACATGCACGCATAAACGGATGTACGCTCATATATGCATACATACCCACGCACATATACACACATGTGCATATGCACGCGCATATACACACACGCAGATACGTTCGTATGTTGTACGCACATTAGTCATTAAATGTATACACTATACATATACAGTACATAATTATCCATTGTGAGATGTTATACTTGTACAGTATATCATTTGGCATTGTGATATGTTATACAATGTAGTTATAAATTATACAATTTTGTATACAGTATGCTATTTTGAATTGTGATACATTATATTTATACAGTAAATTTGGCATTTTGATACATGATACTTGAACAATACACTATTTGGCTTTGTGATATATATATTATAGTTATACAGTATACAATTTGGCATTGTAATACATTATAGGTTTACAGTATAAAATTGGCTTTGTGATACATCATAGTTACAGTACACAATTTGGTATTGTCATATGCTATACTTGTACAAGTTTACAATTTGACATATAAACAGAGAAAAACAATAAAAATCTTTTTACTTTGTAAGAACTTGTTTGTATTTTATGCGGATATGCACACGTTTGTACACTGCTACACATACACATGTTTATATACATATACTCGCATACAGAGCTATACATGTTCATGTATAATATACATATTCACATATACATATAGACATGTACTATACTCAACAAATACATGCATGTAACTACTCACAATCTATGGGAAATCAATGTTTAAGGAGTTGACATATTTCAAGAGTGTACATTATGCCCTTTTTGGGTGTATAAAACACATGTATATTAGCAAGTTATCACTTAATCATCTATATGTACATTGGTTATATTAATGTGTATAAAGGGCTACCCATACACATAAAAAGACAGCAATATTTGATTGGTGTAATTCATAAGGGTATATGGGTGACCAACTGTTTGAGGTTCATTCACCTGGCTTTGGTTTCCATTTTTTTAATTTATTTTGACTTAAGTTAATAGATTTTTCCATTCATTCCAAGTTTTGTTGAACTTTTGGATTTGCATGTTTTTTTGTGACATTTTAGTTTCCATCGATGGTGATAAACATCTGCACTAAAAACAATGAGCCTATCCATATAGCTTGGGTTTTGTCTTTGTTTACTTTCATACCTGATATTAAAGCATACTTTGCTAAAGTTTCCAAAGCCTCAGATTTTTCAGAACCATCTAGAATAAAACTTGTGTCATCGGCGAACTGTGAGAGTTTATTATTTTTCAAAAGAATAGCCAAAATTTTAGCCACAAGTAAGAAAAGATAAGATGAAACCGTGTCCCCTTGACGACAGTCTCTTTTGATAGGGATAAAGTTTGATAGGAAGCCATTTTGTATTACTGCAGATGAGGTTTGATTATTAAAAGTTTTGATCCAATTTATAATGCTGTCTTCAAAGTTTAAAAAATCTGAGTACTTCATATATGAAAGGCCATGAAACAGAGTCAAAAGCTTTCTCGAAATTAACAAGGATCAAAAGTCCAGGAATATTGTTTTCCTCTGTAAAATGTATTAAGTCATATATATGTCTGGTGTTTTCACCTATATATCTACCACTCAGAAAACCTGTTTGAGTTTCTGATATTATTAAGTCAAGTACTTTTTTCAATCTGTTGGCTATACATGCAGATGCTAGTTTGTATATTACATTTAATAGTGTTATAGGTCGCCAATTCTTCAAATATTGTCTGGGCTTTTCACCTTTAGGGATACATGTGATAAGTCCCTGTCTCTGAATTATTGAAAGTTTTTCTTTTTCATATCCTTGATTTAATGAATTAAGTACAAAAAGTTTTAAGTCTTGCCAAAAGTATTTGACAGTATAGAAATATTAAATATGAAATCATTATACAGACGCGTACTCTTCGCACATGTATACATACCTCCATAACAAATGCCAACCATAGCGCCAGTTACACAAAACAGCCATTTACCCAAAAGGACGGAGAAGATGAGTAAAGCTGAAACAATACAAAACGTGGCACGTAATTGCTTGTTCATGCGACATTTTAAAGTGGTCAACAGAAACAAACACGGAAACGTAGTTATGTCAGGGATGTTGTGAATAGCGTTTTTATTTAAAGAAAACTAACAGATTACAAGGTAAAACAAAACAAAAGTTATAAATTAGTTTAATAATAAAGCTTGATTTTTCAAATAAAAGAACACATTGATGTCAAAACCTATATGGACAGGTAAAAATATCCTTGCCAAGTCCTTCACTTGCAATTCTAAATAATGACACAACTTTTTCCTCTATGGTGTTTACATATCGCAGGTGATTCGACATTCACGGGCTTGCTCCAAATATATCATGATTTCATTGATAAGTTTTGATTACAGAGGGACAAAGTTAAAACAAAGGTTTTCAAGAGATGCAGGTTGTAGAAGATATGGTGCAAATATGTCCGTGTGCGATTTAAATACCAATTTTGTTTTAAATGTGGTTTTTGTTGTCACTTTTCCAATTCCCATTTAAATAAAGGTGAGTCCTTACTTAAATTAACTCTGCAAGGATGTGCTTTCCTGCGTTCTCCTATTGAGACCATAAAACTTGCAATAATCTTCATATTTTAAAGCCCTGCATAGCCCTGTGTTAAATTTGTCCATCAACATATCATATCTATTACGGAAATCTTAATATTTGGCGCAAGTTTTGAACCAACTGCTCAAAATCTCATGATTTTCTTGACATATGATTAACGTTGACAAAGACACTACTTAACAAGGACTTTGAATATTAAAGGTACTGAAAATGATGTTGTCGCCGTGACTTGTCAATCTGAATACTTTCCTAGATTTGACAGGAAACATCATGGCGGATGCCACATGTGGAGTAGGAAATGATTACCCTTTCAAAGCATCCAATTATATATGTCTTCTGTTTGTTATAAAGTCCCCTCAGTTGTTTATTTGTATTATTTTTTATTATTTTTTTATTTTTACTGATACTGAAAATGGTATATTATCTATTACATTATATACAAAATTAAAACTAGCTTTCTCATTTGGTAACTGACAAGGCACGAATTGAAGACTGCGGATCAAGGAGAATTTTTATAACCATCAGCAAGTGCGCACAGTTTAAGAACATATATTATTTTTGGTCAATGTCTGTCAATAACTGTGTGATTTGATAGCTTATATAAAATGTTATAAAAAAAATAATAGTTGTGAAAGTGTTTTGTGTGTGATGTGAGAAGTGTAAATGTATTTGTATTTCAGTTATGTTAATTAAATAGGAGTTATATTCCTTTAACTTTTGTGTTTATAATTTTCATTTCAAAATTGATGTAAAAATTAACCAAATCCAAAATTACAGAATCCATTACTTTAGCCACCGTTGAAGAGAGTTTATATAGGCTTTGCCTGTTATTCCATCCAATTGACTTGTAACAACTTTGTCAATAACAATTGTTGAAATAAAATGAAACATATATTATTAATTTGTTTTAACACCAACGAAATTGTAATTGACTTTTACTTACCACTATCATTCACAAATTGATGTTGCAAAATGTATTCTTGTAGCTTGTTGTAGATCTGCGCCAATGTTAACCCCAATGTGCTGATTGCAGATAAGACACTGGAACCGGCTAAAAATGAGTGTATATGAGATATATCAGCAGGGCTATGTTAAAATGTCCTTACCTATCATGTTATCCCTCAGTCCTAACGTAAATTATTTTGTAATTTACATCAAAACACTGACAATGAAGTCTGATAAAATTGTAACGTGTGAAGTATAGATATGGACAATTTACTAATTATTTTTGGAATTGAAGAAATTGAAATCTGTTAGATATAAATAAATATAACGTGTGAAGTATAACCACTGATTCTTTACGATTTACTGTTATGAAGTGTAAACAAAGAAATTATAAATCATTGCTGTATTGTTTGAAGTGTTAACCAAGAAATGTTATAAATAACAAATCACTGTTGTATTGTATGTTCGTATTGTATGAATAGTAAACAAAGAAACGTTATGGTTTACTGTTGTAATTATGTTGTATTGTATGAAGTGTAAAAACAACGATATGTAACGATTTACAGTTATGAAGTGTAAACAAAGATATTCTACAAATTACTGTTGTATTGTATGGTTGCATGGTATGAGGTGTAGCTAAGATATGTTTCAAATACACGGAATATGTACTTACTTGTAAAGGCTATAATAGCTACCACTACTATCATTAAAGCCGCTACCACTACTTTCACTAAAGCCGTTCGTCTTGAAACAGGTTTTGGTTGCTTCTCTGAAATGAAATACGAAAAAACTAAATATACCATAAATTAAATACATGTATTAATAGCAGGGATACCGAGGTAAAACATGCAACGTGCAGAATACCGCCTTGGTCAGGTCCAAGTAGACACATAGAAAACTGTCTAATAGATTATCACGTACATATAAAATGTACAAGGAAACATCTAAACTAGTTGTGATCGGAAGACAAAATAGCAAAATTCCAATGCTTTACAATAAATAAATGCATTAATGTTCTTCATATATATTAGTCCTATCAAGTTTTTCTGCTATCCTTCAATATACCCTGCGATAATTATCTCACTGAAATATTTACATAGTCGACCGATAGAAATGCCAAATAAAAGATAAAAATAGCTCACCTTTTTCCGATGTGATGGAGCTCGTATCAGCAGTGGACGACAGCTCTTGAATTTCTTAAAAATAATTATCTTTATATCAAACTAATTAACACTCTGTTCAGTTTTTACTCGACAGAAATATGTACTATTGATATAAAAACCCTAGTTCATTATATCTGTGTAATTACACTTTACTCTTACTGTATATATTCTTTAAAAAATACAGCTTAAAGAAGAGGATTATTTATAATATACGCAAGAACTTTCACGATAATTCATTACACACGTGTAAGGTATCTGGTTTATGAGTTATTATCAAGCTATTAGATAACTTATAAGATCAACTTATATTAATCAATCGTTTTGGCCCAGATGGAAGTGCACGGAAGGTTTTTAAGTGGGAGGAAACAGGAGTACCCGGTCGGAAAATCCAGCCCATCGGTCTTGGTGAAAGGTGAGTGCGCTAACCACTGTGCCATCAAACCAACCATCCGGTTTATCACATTACTAATATATGAAAGAAAACCTAATTTCTGTACAAAACGCTTGTTTAAACCTCTCTGGTCGAGAGAAAAACTTAGGTAGGACGTGATGATAAGTGTGACGTACCAATCTATGGTGACCTCACATCGTATGATCAAACATAAAGCAAGTTTAGAATATAAAGGTAGTGGCAACATCAGAATAACGTCTCGTCTCGTTACAACAAAGGTTACCGTGTTTAGATTCAGCTGTAATGGGGCCCGTATCAGCAGTGGAAGGTAGTGCTTGGGTTTCTGTAAGAAAATTATAATTATTTATAAAAATTATTGATGCAGCTATCATTTTGAAGATACAGTGTAATTTACACAACTATTCAACTCCTTTCTCACAACAATGATAGAAACTATAAATCTTGATAAGACTGCGGACCTGTCTTCCAATCCTAACAACAGTTTACCATCAGCTGTGCATGTAGCACCACCAAGCCATTATCAGCTTATATATCTTTGTTAATTTATCTAAGGTGCTTTACAACACACGGATAATAGTATTCCTACAGTGACAGTTATAAATATAGAAGATAAAAAAAGCATACAAATCAGCATTATAAATCAGGTAGCTATAAATTTATCTCCATATGCATATATACATATTAATATAAAAATGGGTGAAGAATCAATAAAGAGTGCAGACAAAGGAATTTGTCAAACTTTCAACGCAAACCACTCCTTTTAAAAACAGAAACATGAACACTTATATATCACAACATATAACAAAGATAAACTCTGAAACAATACCACAACCTAAAACACATAAACTAAATCCAGTAATCACTTATATAAAATGACTGTTGTATTTGCATATCCCTTCGGTAAGCTGGTAACCGAAGGCTAACTATTGCACAAAACTAGTGAATTATTAGAAACATGAATAAATGTATTGAGAAAAGCATATACTGTAGTCAAATATATTAAGAACTTTTTTTTCTTCCATTCTTCACTCTACCAAATAAAACTGAAGGTACGCCTAACGACGTTAAAATATATGGATGTTAGCTTTCTTTGATCATTCTTTTTGTGAAATCACAACAGAGATAAAAAAAAAAAATCGAGATTGAAATTATTGTGTTACTGATTGATAGTGTTTTTGTTGATTTCGTTTGTTAGTTTCAAAAAAATATATAACATTACTGTATATCAAAACGTTTATCATGATAATGATTAAACTTGAACTTTATTTAGGCAAAAAGCTCTCTCTTACTCTGTTGTTTTACCTTACTCCTTTATAGTGAATTGGTAGGAAACCGGAGCACCAGGAGAAGACCTATGTGGTTGGGCAGATGTCCCATACCTTTTCACGTCTAATCGGGGCCATTTTAGTGAAAGGCGATAGCGCTATCCACTGCACCACTTGACCACCCTCATGACATCAGCATATAACAAAGGTTATCTTTCCGGAAATCCTGAAGTTGTTCTCCTTATACTTTAATCATGGTCTCCATGTAAAGATTTCCATTGTTTATTTTTTGCCCTGGTTTAATCGGTTAAGTTTGAATAACGGCTTTGTTTCCAGTTGGTGTTGTCTTGCTTTCGTCAATCTTTGATTGTATATGGCAGAAATAGTGCACGAACGATATATTCCAATATTGCAATATTCAATGACAATTTGATTTTTTTGTCTTTATTTTTATTCCCCCCAGAGCATTTTAATGATTTGGGAGCTCTAGATTCAACTCACTTAAAACATGAAGTATCGCTCAGGAGGCCTTCTTCTCTTCACTCGGTTGAATTTATTTCATTTCTTCTCTTTTAACTTATTCTTCATTCTCATTTATTTGATTAATATCGCTTATATTCAATATATGGCTTGAATATATACATATTAACATACAAGAATTTGTCCGTGCATTTGCATAAACATACATATATACAGTCATGCTTAGTATACTCTCTATACACAGACATAATAGTGAGAAAAAACATACCGCTACTGTATCTTCACCAGCTATGTCAAAATATTACTACAATGAACCTGTACAAACACTAGGACTGGCCAAAATCTTTACATAGTCAACATTAAAATGGAATTAAGGAAACCTCTCCTTACGTGCATCGTTGTTACCCGTGTTGTCCTCGACTCCAGTTGTATTTCTGAGTATTCCTCCTAACCGTTTGTAGATAACTACTTCCGGTCTGTCCGTATCAAGTTGTGCCCATCTCTTGCTGTCCCAGCCTATCTCATACAGTTGTAAGAAGAGCTCGGCCCCCAGGGTGGGGCGCCGAGCGCTGATGTCCACATCTCTGCCCTGGAGTCGAAGACAGAGCGTGGTTTTACCTACATTCTCTGGTCCAACAAACACTACTCGGATGTGTCTGTACTTTTCTTTTGGTCCGGAGAAAAGCCTTAGATAATCATCGATCACCTTCTGTGGTCCCACTGAAATTGGATATACAATTATTAGTTCATGTATACGAGGAAAGCTTTTAATGCTGTGAGTGCCCGTGTCTCCTTGGTTTTTGCTGGTTTTGACGTGTACAGATATAACGTTGTGTTTACGTTTACAATATAATCGAAAACATAAAGGAACATATGGCGTTATTTGTATCAGTGTAATTCCTCTACAAACTCCGCCTCGGTCCTTTCTTTAATCTCCTTATAAATACCTTCTTTTCCCGACTCTCTTCGCCATTTACGGAACAGTTTCATAGGTACAGATATCAGCATTTTAAAAAAAATAGGTCGCTCCACACCATATCTCTCCAGTATGTCAACAATATCTAGATGATTTCCCTTCATAGAATACAAAATTGGAGAATGACCGTCAACGTCAGTTGCGTGAATGTTGATTTTAAATCTACTTGCGTTTTCCAGAATGTACCTCAGAAGTATTTCGTGACCACACCATGCTACGATCATGAGACAGTTGATTCCGTCAATGTCCGACACTGTGGGGTCAAGGTTATGTTGTAACATGTAATCAAACATGTCGACACTTCCAGAGTAGCAAGAATACAGAAACACGTCCATATTATTATTTGATATTTTCCTCAACATATCAGGGTAGGTTTCGACGATATGGCGTGTGAGGCTACGGTGGCCTCTGGCTGCTGTTAACATGAGGACAGTGTCTAAGTGAACAATTCTCCTGTGTGGAGACAACCCTTTCTTTACAAACAGTTTGAACATGTCCACGTTGCCTGATACAGAGCACAAGAAGAGTGGACTGGCACCATACTTGTTGGTTAACGTTAACAGCTGTGGGTATCGGTCAATCAGGTATTTGATGATGGTCACTTGGTCCCCGACCACTGCCCAACCCAGGAGGGACGTATCAGATTTGGTGTCCTTCACCTCTGTAACGTCCTTTACCTGTCTCAGATGTTGTCCAAGTCCATCGAGGTCTCCATTGTAGGCTGACCAGATGACTGGGTACCGCTCCTTCTCAGAGTTAATCCAGTCATATCCCTGTACATTTATGACAGGCATGACTAACTACAATAAAACATTATACACATGTATGAAAATCTGATACATGTAAAAAAAAGGTACCTGAACATAGCAATCAAACAAAATTCCTTACCTTCATTTCATTTCAACAAATTTTATTGACACAGATTGTACAGCCAAATGGGTTAAATAACAGGCAAGCCTATATAAATATTGTGATTTCCATAATAATTCAAAGAAGCAAGAAGATTAAGTATAATATGTTCTTTACAGAATGAACAATATAAGAACAAAACTAGCTACAGTTTCATAAATGATAGAACAAGCACACGCTGCACTGTGTTATAAGTGATTGTGGTGTTAATGAAAATTAAGATTACTACAAGAATGTCTAAAGTGATGAGGATTGTTGTTTAGACACTATAAAGTGGATTGTGTTATGTACCTGATCGAAGGCCTCACCCTTACATGTATAGTAAGCATACCACAGAAAAGCATATTTTACCACTGTGCCCTAATACCAAACGTAACAGTAATGGTTAAACAAGAAACGGGACCTGGAAATTCTAACGACCCTCTGCTGCTTTGGACAGCTGTTTCTAAGAACTGGCTCCTCGAATGGTTTCACTTTCAATGGAACGACTGTATAACGGAACCCGTGAGGGGCCATGTTGTATTCTTACAATTTATATATCTTCACGGACTCTATATTATGTAGTTAGTATACTCACACATTCGAATTTGAATTGGCAACTGTCTGGTCGACAGATTATCGCTACGACAATCATATTCAAACATAGTCCGAATTATTCTGACGTTTTATCGATTTTTTTATATCGGTCTGGCGTCGATGTTAATAAAACAATGATAAAACGTCAGAATAAGTCGGACTAATACAAACAATGAGTTATATAGATTTACATACTAAATGTATAGTATAGCCATAAATCCATCTATTGCTGTCGATTTATCAAAGAGAACACCATACATACTAACTTTTGTTTACAGGTACGTGGCGAACGGACACCCTCTGACTTCCATGGCTATATACCACAGTTGGGTTAACCGAGTGCTATTTATAGCTTTATGTGACGTAACTTGCACGGTCTTAATGTTTATTGGACGAGAGCTTTAGGTGGGTACAATACGGAAGATGTGTTGATATCTAGAGATGATATATATAGCATATATCAACAAATTGTCATTGAGAGCTCTTTCTGTTTTGTAATTATATTGTGTTTGTTTTGTAATTATGTTGTGTTTGTTTTGTAATTATATTGTGTTTGTTTTGTAATTATATTGTGTTTGATTTGTAATTATATTATGTTTGTTTTGTAATTATGTTGTGTTTGTTTTGTAATTATATTGTGTTTGATTTGTAATTATATTGTGTTTGATTTGTAATTATATTGTGTTTGATTTGCAATTATATTGTGTTTGTTTTGTAATCATATTGTGTTTGTTTTGTAATTATATTGTGTTTGTTTTGTAATTATATTGTGTTTGATTTGCAATTATATTGTGTTTGTTTTGTAATTATGTTGTGTTTGTTTTGTAATTATATTGTGTTTGATTTGTAATTATATTGTGTTTGTTTTGTAATTATATTGTGTTTGATTTGCAATTATATTGTGTTTGTTTTGTAATTAGATTGTGTTTGTTTTGTAATTATATTGTGTTTGTTTTGTAATTATATTGTGTTTGATTTGTAATTATATTGTGTTTGATTTGTAATTATATTGTGTTTGTTTTGTAATTATATTGTGTTTGTTTTGTAATTATATTGTGTTTGATTTGCAATTATATTGTGTTTGTTTTGTAATTATATTGTGTTTGTTTTGTAATTATATTGTGTTTGATTTGTAATTATATTGTGTTTGATTTGTAATTATATTGTGTTTGTTTTGTAATTATATTGTGTTTGTTTTGTAATTATATTGTGTTTGATTTGCAATTATATTGTGTTTGTTTTGTAATTATATTGTGTTTGTTTTGTAATTATATTGTGTTTGATTTGTAATTATATTGTGTTTGTTTTGTAATTATATTGTGTTTGTTTTGTAATTATATTGTGTTTGATTTGCAATTATATTGTGTTTGCTTTGTAATTAGATTGTGTTTGTTTTGTAATTATATTGTGTTCGTTTTGTAATTATATTGTGTTTGTTTTGTAATTATATTGTGTTTGATTTGTCATTATATTATGGTTGATTTGTAATTATATTGTGTTTGCTTTGTAATTAGATTGTGTTTGTTTTGTAATTATATTGTGTTTGATTTGCAATTATATTGTGTTTGTTTTGTAATTATATTGTGTTCGTTTTGTAATTATATTGTGTTTGATTTGTAATTATATTGTGTTTGTTTCGTAATTATATTGTGTTTGTTTTGTAATTATATTGTGTTTGATTTGCAATTATATTGTGTTTGTTTTGTAATTATATTGTGTTCGTTTTGTAATTATATTGTGTTTGATTTGTAATTATATTGTGTTTGTTTCGTAATTATATTGTGTTTGTTTTGTAATTATATTGTGTTTGATTTGCAATTATATTGTGTTTGTTTTGTAATTATATTGTGTTCGTTTTGTAATTATATTGTGTTTGATTTGTAATTATATTGTGTTTGTTTCGTAATTATATTGTGTTTGTTTTGTAATTATATTGTGTTTGATTTGCAATTATATTGTGTTTGTTTTGTAATTATATTGTGTTCGTTTTGTAATTATATTGTGTTTGATTTGTAATTATATTGTGTTTGATTTGTCATTATATTATGGTTGATTTGTAATTATATTGTGTTTGCTTTGTAATTATATTGAGTTTGATTTGTAATTATATTGTGTTTGATTTGTAATTATATTGTGTTAGTTATGTAATTATATTGTGTTTGATTTGTAATTATATCAAGTTGTGTTCGTTTTGCAATTATATTGTTTGGGCAACGTCATAGGCATTCAAAGCGGTACATGTTTTTTTTAAATGCCATTTACATAACCAGTATTGCCCCTTACATTATTTCTGTCCATACTGAACGTCTCTTACATAATATATTGTGTTATATAATGTAAGTATCACTTTAGGAAATTTCATTTGAAATCTAAGTAGTATAATGCTTGCTTATTTTCCAAACAATATAGAATCAGATTCATGATGCATCGAAATACATTAGGGATGGTCTCGGACACTTGCCGTCTTCACTTAATCTAACTTGAGAGTGAAACAAATTCTCAGGTCCCTATGGTATTTGTCACCCGTTATTTTTTCGTTAAATACATTATTTTCATTGATTTTTTTAAAAATCAATATAGTCCAAGAAATATAAGAAATGAAGAAATACATCAGATTAAGAAAGGAAATGACAGGTGACCAATATTCAATGGAGCAAAATCCATAATTTAAGTACAAATGTACATTTACCCACTTCTGTGTACTATCTCACGTTTTCTTTAAATCAAATAAAGGTAATTATTGCCAAAGGCTAATCATGTTTTCCGCAGACGTCTGTATGCAGATGTGTTATAAACTGGGATATGAAAAGCTTTCTATCAACATGCTACTAATTTGCAAATATATAATAACACTACTCGTGACTGAACGAAATGATTAACTGTTTAGATACAGGAATACTCATGTTACCGTCCATATCAAAAACAAACAAGCGTTAGCTCAGTAGCGCTATTTCTGTGTCAGACATGGGTGTAAAAATAAAACAAACAAACGTTAGCTCAATAGCGCTATCTCTGTGTCAGACATGGGTGTGAAAACAAACAAACGTTAGCTCAGTAGCGCTATTTCTGTGTCAGACATGGGTGTAAAAATAAAACAAACAAACGTTAGCTCAATAGCGCTATCTCTGTGTCAGACATGGGTGTGAAAACAAACAAACGTTAGCTCAGTAGCGCTATTTCTGTGTCAGACATGGGTGTAAAAATAAAACAAACAAACGTTAGCTCAATAGCGCTATCTCTGTGTCAGACATGGGTGTGAAAACAAACAAACGTTAGCTCAGTAGCGCTATTTCTGTGTCAGACATGGGTGTAAAAATAAAACAAACAAACGTTAGCTCAATAGCGCTATCTCTGTGTCAGACATGGGTGTGAAAACAAACAAACGTTAGCTCAGTAGCGCTATTTCTGTGTCAGACGGCCTCCAAGAAAGCTGGGTCCACGTCCCGAGGCTGGGTACGTTGGTGCTCAGTGCGTATGTGATCATTTCGGGGGTATGATTGTGGCGCGCTGGGCGTCATCGTAGCAGAAGGCTTTCACAGTAGCTCCAATTTGAGCCAACCTGTTTGCCGTGGGTTGCATCTCGTATTCCTGGGGGAAGAAGATCCTGGTAGTTGAGCAGAGTCGGAATCACTGTCAAACTCTTGATAGGAAGGAGACATGATCCGATATTCTGCAACATACTGCTTTGGCTTCGGACTCTGGGTAGACGAGAGGTGATATGGGCCCTCTATCACCAATCGGCTGGTCACGCCAAGCCCTTGGTTTACATACTGCCAAGAAGGCGGTGGCTTAGGGTCAATCGCGAGAGTATACTCTTTCAAATAGTATGTATATTCTTACGAGTATACTATTCTATGTATCTCCGACACTTGGCGCTGGATATCCGCGTCACACCAGTGTCCCCTTGTTGGGCTCCGTGGCGGGTGGAGGCATAGATCGTGAAACAAACAAATATACACATGGGTAAAGAAAAAAAACACCTAAACGACGGACATAACAAAATCAGGAACGATGAACCAAGTTAAAAAACAACACAAAACGCAACACAGAACACCCAGTTCCCGCAATTCGTTGTGATGACCTCCACACAGAGTGGTAAAACAACGGCCGCGTTGTCGCCACTTCTGTTGAGGAAGGGCATCCAGGGAATCGCAGGGGATGTGAAATCTGTTAAGCCATTGGGATCGGGCTCCCCTATAGAGGTTTATCGCCAACAACAGGCGATGAACCTACTGGGAACAACCAGTTTTGCCGGCATCGGTGTCAGTGTGAAACCACACTCATCACTTAATTGCAGCAAGGGGGTAATCAGGTGCCCAGCCTTGCGCAATGACACCGATGAAGACATACTGGCATATTTCCAGGAGGAGAGCGTCCCGGTCTCTGAGGTGAGGCGGATGGTGATCAGGAGAAACAATGATACAATCAAAACAAACACCTTCATCATCACTTTTTCAACGCCAACACTACCCCAAATACTAACAATCGGATACCAGAGGTACAACGTTTCCGTCTACATCCCAAATCCATTGCGATGCCGAAACTGTCAGAAGTACGGTCATCACGAAAAGCGATGTAGACGAAAATCGATCTGCCAGTATTGTGGCCGTGAGGGTCACACCGAGCAAAATGACTGTGACATCGCCAACCTGCGCTGTGTCAACTGTGAGGGGAAGCACGCTGCCTCTTCTCGCGACTGCCCTACCTGGAGCCAGGAGAGGGAGATATTACGGGTTAAATATACCCGAGGTGTCTCTTTCCCCGAGGCCAGGAGGATAGTCGTGAGTGCAGACATTGCTACACCCTCTTACGCACAAGTGACTCGAGGCAAGGCGCCGGTTGACAGTGTCACGGTCAAGGATGCTTCGGTTCAAGTTTCTGAAGACATACCTGCCTGGGGCTCACAAGTCCCAGACATGGCTGGTCAACAGAACTTGAAAATCCTCACGGGGGACCCATCCCGTTTCACGACTTTTCGAAAACCAACCAAAAACAGCAAACAATCAAAACCAGCATCTCCATCAAAACCAGCATCTTCATCAAAACCAGCATCTTCATCAAAACCTACACCACAATCAAAACCAGCACCACAATCAAAACCAGCACCACCATCAAAAACACCTTCCTCTTCAGGAGAAAACCCTCCAAAGGTTTAAAATAGCGAGGGGCATGTGCGTTCGAAGCGATCTCGCTCACTCACATCTGTTCCTCGATCCCAATTGAAACCAGAGACAACATCACCCACCAACAGACCTAGGAAAAAAATTAAAATAGCGAGGGGCAAATCCGAAGGACCGGATCTGAATGTCACCTTTGGCAAAGGATCAGAGGATCCGACAAACCGGTTCAATGTCATACTAGATTTCGATGATGAGATGGAGACGAATGCCTCCGCGCTTCGTGCTTCAACTCCATCGAAATCCAGCCAAAATAACAAAAGATAAATAACACAATTATCCAATGGAACATCCGCGGATTAAAGGCAAATATAGAAGAATTTCAGAATCTATCAAAAGAATTTAGACCCGCCATTTTTTGTCTTCAAGAAATCATGCTCAAAAACCCAATCACGCTTAGAAATTTCTCACTCTACACTAATATTCCAACTGTAGTTAGCAGAGCAGCAGGTGGCGCAGCGGTAGCTGTCCATAAAAATATTCCTCACAGAATGATCAAGTTAAACACAAATTTACAGGCTGTTGCTGTCTGTGCAACATTACACCGACAAATAACTGTCTGTTCAATTTATCTCCCTCCGAGTATTGTTTTCACTTGTGAGCAACTCAATAATCTCGTCTCCCAGCTCCCAACACCATTCATAATCCTCGGTGATTTTAATGGTCATAATAGCCTGTGGGGCTCTCCCAACACAGACGAGAGAGGAAGACGTATTGAGGAATTTATAGATAAAAACAACTTGTGCCTTTTTAACAACAATACCCCTACTTATTTACACCCTGCTACAGGCTCTCGTACCCACATTGATCTATCATTATGCCATCCATCCATTTTACTTGACTATGACTGGAGGGTAAATGATGATCTTTGTGGGAGTGACCACTTCCCAATTTTTCTTCAGAATATTGGGACTCCTCTTGATGATCCTCTACCTCGATGGAATATGCACAAAGCAGATTGGGCCCAATTCCAACACATGTGCATTGAAAAACTAACCATAGACAATTTTACTAACCTCGACGACCCTATCAAAACTTTTACTGAAACACTCACTTCTATTGCCCAAAAGACAATTCCAAAATCCGCTCCAAAACCTACGAAGTTCCTTTTATCTGAAGAATCTTTTAAAACACGCAGTAATCGGGCAGCTGCTCTAAGACGCTACTTCAATTGCCCAACTGCTTCAAACTACAGTGAATTTAAAATTTGGCGGGCAAAGGCTCGGCGATCAATTAAAATTGACAAAAGAAACAGCTGGAGAGAATATGTATCCAAGATATCATCAAACACGTCCTCAAAAAAAGTATGGGATATGATTCGGAAAATAAGTGGGAAAAAGAAAAAGGCAACATCCTCCCACCTCATTAATAAAAACAAAATTTTCTCGTCTATAACTGAAATTGCTGATGCATTTGCAAAAAACATAGCTAAAAACTCATCCCCTTTAAACCACTCCCAAAAATTCCAGTCTTTGAAAAAAAAGAGAGAAAAGAAACGGCTCAATTTCAAATCATCAAACAAAGAAAGTTATAATGAACAATTTACCCTACCAGAACTTGTTGATTCGCTTAGAAAATCACAGGACACTGCTTCAGGTCCTGATGATATTCCATATCAATTTCTAAAGCACTTACCGGACTCTTCACTAACATGCCTTCTTTACATATTCAACCAAGTTTACGCTTCCGGAAAGATTCCCGATTCGTGGAAGAACTCCACAATTATACCTATCCCAAAACCGGGAAAGGATGCTACTGACCCAAACAACTATCGTCCTATCTCTCTGACTAGTTGTGTATGTAAAACTTTAGAACGAATGATAAACACTAGACTGGTTTGGTTTCTTGAGGCCAACGATATAATATCCCCTCTTCAAAGTGGCTTTAGAAATAGAAGAGGGACAAATGACCATCTCATCAGATTAGAGACGTTCATTCGAGAGGCTTTCGCCAAGAAAGAACACCTTGTCGCTGTGTTCTTCGATCTTGAGAAGGCCTATGATACTACATGGCAGTATGGCATCATGAAAGATCTTCACGACCTTGGCGTACGTGGAAACCTTCCCAATTTTATATCTAATTACCTATCAGATAGACACTTCAAAGTCCGTGTTGGTTCAACTTTTTCTGAAACGTCTAAACAGGAAATGGGAGTCCCACAGGGTGGAATCCTATCAGTCACACTGTTTGGTCTTAAAATCAATGATATAGTCAAATGTCTTGGTCAATCAACAGAAGGGTCGTTATTTGTGGATGACTTCTTGATCTGTTACAGATCTAAGAACATGCACACGATAGAACGACAACTTCAACAGAGTTTAAACAAACTACAAAATTGGGCAGACGAAAACGGCTTCAAATTCTCTAAATCCAAAACTGTGTGCATGCATTTCTGTCAAAAACGAAAAGCACACAATGACCCAAATCTAACACTCGATGGCACTAGAATTCCTGTTGTTGAACAGACTAAATTTCTCGGCCTCATTTTTGATTCGAAACTCTCTTTCATACCACATATAAAGTATCTGAAGGATAAGTGTTCCAAGGCGTTAAACATTATACGAGTCCTTTCTCATACTGATTGGGGAGCGGATCGTGAAATGCTTTTGCGCCTATACAGATCACTTATTCGAACAAAACTGGATTATGGTTCTATGGTATACGGGTCAGCGCGCAGTTCGTACCTTCAGATGCTAGATCCAATCCATAACCAAGGGCTACGTCTTGCCCTGGGAGCTTTTCGAACAACACCTGTAAAAAGCCTGTACGTGGAAGCAAATGAACCATCCCTTTATGACAGAAGAATAAAACTTTCATTACAATTTGCAACTCAATTAAAATCAAACCCTAAAAATCCTGCTTTCAACCAAGTATTCAACCCCAAATACCAAAACATATTTACGCAAAACCAAAAACTTCTGCCAACATTTGGTATCCGAATTTTGAATTTCCTGCAAGAACTCAACATAAAATTGACGGACATAGCTGAATTTAACATATCTGATGTTCCTCCGTGGACCATTCAAACCCCCGATTTTAACTTTACATTACATGAGCGAGGGAAATCAAGTGTTATGCCCGAAGAACACAAATCCTCCTTTCGGGAATGCATTTCGAATTACCCTTCTCATACACAACTTTACACCGATGGCTCCAAAGAAGGTGAGAAAGTGGCAGCAGCCTGCTGTACTGCCAATACTTGCACTTCAGTCCGACTACCAGACGGCGCCTCCATCTTTTCTGCTGAAGCATGCGCCATTGGTTTGGCCCTCGACCATATCGATGAACACCGCATTAAAAAGGCAATTATTTGTTCAGACTCTCTATCTGTCCTACAGAGTTTACAGTTACGAGATCCTAAAAACACAATCGTACAAAACCTTGCTCATCGAATATCTCGTATATTAAAAAAGTCTAAAATAACTTTACTATGGATTCCGAGCCATGTCGGAATAAAAGGCAACGAATTTGCTGACAGGGAAGCAAAAAATGCATTGAATCTCGAACAAACAAATATCAAACTACCATACACAGATTTTAAACCTACTATTCGTACAGCCATTCAAAATGAATGGCAGAAACGCTGGTCTCTGGAGACCAACAACAAACTTTTTAAGATACAACCGAAACTTAAAACATCTATTCCCAGTCGGAAAGATCGTAGAGAGGAAGTTGTCCTCGCTCGGCTCCGCACTGGGCACACATATCCTACTCATTCGTACCTTTTAAAACGAGAAGATATACCTTCATGCCACGCATGTGACACTCCATTTACAGTGGAGCATTTTTTAATAGAATGTTCCGATTTTAAACACATTCGTGATAACTACTTCCGAGTCCCGGATATGAAAACACTTTTCAGTTCCGTGGATTCGAAGGCATTATTTAACTATTTGAAAGACATCGGTCTATTTTATAGACTCTGATGTCTTTTAACCCACCTTATCCTTTTTGACGTTATATATATATCGCATATTCCATATCATCTATTCGTTATCTCTTTTATTATTTTAACTCCCTTTTTTAATTTTTATTATCTACACATACAATGCGAATACTTTTGAAATGAACCATTTTATCTGATTTTATCTTCGCTATTCACATGTTTGTTAAAAAAGTAAAATAAATAAATAAATCACCATGGCCCTAAATGACCACAGCCGTCGATGGGCCGTTAAACATAAACAAACAAACAAACAAAATCTGTGTCAGACATGGGTGTGAAAACAAACAAACTGAAGTTCAGTAGCGCTATTTCTGTTCCAGACATGGGTGTGAAAATAAAACAAACAAACGTTAACTCAGTAGCGCTATCTCTTTGTCAGACATGGGTATAAAAATAAAACAAAACAAACAAACGTTAGCTCAGTAGCGCTATTTCTGTGACAGACATGGATGTGAAAATAAAACAAAACAAACAAACGTTAGCTCAGTAGCGGTATTTCTGTGAGACATGGGTATAAAAATAAAACAAAACAAACAAACGTTAGCTCAGTTAGCTATAAAATAAAAAAATAAATAAAAAATAAAACAAAACAAAAACAAAAACATGGCATGCAAATAAACATGGGTCAAATAACGATAAAGCAAAGTAAAGTATATTATAGCTACGTATGGTCACTTGGTGGTAATATTAAACAATATATCTACAGGCTATCAGCACTAAAAGATTAAATGACATACATATATATAGCATAGAATGTGTCACAGCACAGGTGGTTGTGTCAATCCCAACTCACTTAGCCCCATGACACCAAAACAAATCAGGTTATTTAAAATTTAGCTAATACCGTAGTTAAACTTACACCAAAACAAATAAGGTTATTTAAAATTTAGCTAATGACGTAGTTAAACTTAGGAAAATAACACATGATTTGTAAACTATTATCACAGCATTAGAGGATTAGATCAAGGAATCAATACAATTATGTCTTCATGAATAGACGTAAAGTAAGAGTTAATAAAGAAATAATAGATTCACTATTAAATACATCAATTTACAATGGTGTGCTACAGTACAGGTGGTCTGGGTGGTCACTACATTGCCATTTGACACTGGTACAATAAAATCCATGACAGTTAACTACACACTGTTAAGTCAAGGAATATATTACAGGGTGGTTAACAATAATCATAAAATTCAAAACAGAAATTTAATCACTTCAATAAGCCGGTTAGATGACCGGTTAATGATTAAAACACTATGAACAACAGAAAAACTTAATTGGATTCAGGAACACATCAGGAGCATTTTCAGAGTTCACCACCCCAGGTGCGCAACAGTCTACATAATCATATGTATTTTTCAGCTCAGCGTATCTCACTAGGTAGACTGTTCCACACCTGGGCAGCTTAGCGTATCTCGTTAGGTAGACTGTTCCACACCTGGGCAGCTTCAAAGCGAAAGGTTTCTTACCGTAAGTGATTTGTACTTTCCCTAGGTATCTTTACTTTGTCTACCTTCCTAAAATTATATTAAACTAGTTTTAATAACAAGAATTTACTTATTTTATCTTATTACATCACATAACTACACATAGCTAGTTTGTCGTAAAACATACAAAATCATTCATGTCGAAATCAACAGTTTTCCAAGAAGACTAAAACGAGTCTAATCGTCAGGTTTCGGTATTATTATTATTTTTGACGTCGTGTGCTGATTTGCCGAACTATGAAAAGGAATTAAAATTTTACCAAATATGTAACACGTTATTACCCGTAACATCCCGGTGATATTTCGCCAAACCCTTTATAAGATCATCACTTCTCGGGACGTATTGTTCCTGTATTACACCTCCAAATTCAATTTCAACTCTATTGCATTTTCATCTAAACGATATACATTCAAATGATCGACCTAAAAATGAGCAAAACAACAAAACAACTATCAATAGCATCATTATGAACCTTCCTCAGCTCAGAAGACTTTCTACAATGTAATGGAGAGGCACATACCACGCAAAAGTTTCTGTTCATTGGATGATAATATATTTTGTAAGTTTTGAGTCAGAATTAAAGATGCATATAATTTAGGTCTCTCAAAAAAAAACATTTAGAAAAATAATTGTACCTCCTTTTCTTTTGTGTTACAAATCTTACAAAGATGGATTTGCCGATGATTGATTTAGCTCTGTCAATTTAGATTTCAAAGATACGATAACTTACTCCCAGTTTTTTAATTAGTGTCTTTGTTCAAAATTTAGTAAACAAGATTATATTTATTCTTAACTTTACTATAAAGATAAAAAGAGTTATCAATGTTTCACAACTTATTAAAAAATTGTTTAAAAGTTCCTATAAATTCAGGTTTTTATCAAACCTTTTATTCCTAACTCATTCTTGGCATTGCAAGGATCATGCTTAAAACTGTATGGTATATCATCACTTCTCTATATTATCAATGTATGTGTACATTGTGTATATAAAATTGTCATGCATTTGTTTATTTGTTTAAACGGTTTATTTTACAAGATCATTTATTTCATTATGCGGAATTTTATGTAGGTACAAAGTGTAGCACAAGGCTTGAGTATTTACAAACAACATACCGGATGTTTCCTAGTTCTACCCTAGATGCTTTACTAATCACATAATTTCCAACACCAACAACCAGTTTACACATTTTAAGTAAATGATCGATATAACGTCCACATATTTATTGTACGCATTAGCTCTATTGGCTGCATTGATAACTTTCTCATGATAATCACAATACTCCTGAATTATAAGTTAGTACAACTCTTAGTAGGGGGTTGAACATTTGTCCTCAGCCAAGGTAGTGGTTAGTGGTAAATAAAACCTGTCACTCTTCCACTGCTAGTGTACATCTACCAAAGAGTTGTGCCTAAATACTTGTATTCATGTTTACTTCTTTGTGATGTGTTTCGTCACAGAACAATCATCGTTTTCGTTTTGTCAGGATTAAGTGACAATCGACATATAGAACAATATTGTTCTAGATTATCTAAAGAGTTTTGCAAACCCTCTGGATATCCTGACGGAATCAACAAATCATCTGCAGATTTCCTTGATTTCATGGGTTTAATGGATAAATACACTTTAAATAGCATTGATAGACATGTTAAAAGTGTAGGGCTTATAATTGGAGGGTACATTAGGTTCCAAAGATTTCTCTGTAATCGGAGGGTACATTAGGTTCCAAAGATTTCTCTGTAATTGGAAGGTACATTAGGTTCCAAAGGTTTCTCTGTAATTGGAGGGTACATTAGGTTCCAAAGATTTCTCTATAATTGGAGGGTACATTAGGTTCCAAAGATTTCTCTGTAATTGGAGGGTACATTAGGTTCAAAAGATTTCTCTGGAATTGGAGGGTACATTAGGTTCCAAAGATTTCTCTGGAATTGGAGGATACATTAGGTTCCAAAGAATTCTCTGTGATTGGAGGGTACATTAGGTTCCAAAGATTTCTCTGTAATTGGAGGGTACATTAGGTTCCAAAGATTTAAAAAGTGGTTTTAAAAATAATCCAGTTGCTGGATAAAGGGCACTTTTCAGAATAGCACTAATTATAGATAGCTTATTGCATTTATTACGGAATGAGAACTATCTTTACGTCCGTGCATTTATATTTGAGAATTCCATCACTGATATAATCTGGGCCAGTAGATTTAACATTAGTAGTTTGATTACTTCTCGTTATTTATTTCTTTTTAATTGCATCATCTGTAATACTCACTTTGTTAGCTATATTGTTGTGCCATGATGGAATTCCTTTTTTAAGATTAGAAATGGAACTCTATAAATGAATAAGTCCGTGGTACACAGATACATGGATTTTATTCTGACAAAATTAGGATTTTACAATCCATTGACAGTCAGCTCTAAAAATTAAAAGAAATGATAAAATAAAAACATATTTCAAAAGTTGCGACGTTTAGATTTCGACTGTTTCTTTAAAACTGTATGTGTGCGCTTGCATGGTTTTGCCAGTGTTCATCTTCATCTATAACATTCGACGGAAAATTGTTCCATAAATCAAAAGTTCTCTGTGTAAATGAAAATGTTCTAATATTCAATTTTGAATGCGATGCGTAAATTTTAAAGTTGTGTCAGTGAATAATATGTCAAAGTGAAAGTAGATTAACTTTCCCTGATATTAAAAATGTCGGATACTTCATCGACATACTTTCTAGACAATATTATGGGTACATTCTGTGGTACATACTCTCCAAATCTACAAGTTTAAGATACTTTGTTTTTGACAGACACGATACAAAACTTACTGTTACCCTCCAATAACAGCAACATTAAATATTGTTACACACCCTCCAATAACAACTGGGTTATTGAGGTTAGAGCGAACGGCTTTTCATTCACGATGCTTAGATCGATCAATCCCACAATCCTCTGCTGACATTCTTTAGCAAAAATGGCGAATGTTGCACCTGACTACGACAAGGCAGGAGATGGTGAAGATGTCAAAGTGAAAGTAATATGTCTAGGAGACAGTGCGGTTGGCAAGTCAAAGTAAATGTTTGTTTCATAAAGGTTTAACTGTTTCTGTGGTTGATTGAACAGTGTTTTGATATATGCATTCATCAGTGAGTCGATATAGCAGGGTATGACAGTTGTCAGCTGGTTGTGTTCATGCACTCTTTGCTGGAATGAGCGGGACCGGGGAGGAGATAAAACTGATTTACCTACATAATATAAGGTCTTTATATCATGCACGTGAAGAATATTTTCCTCCTCTTCGACCGTAATCAATTGTATTTTTGTATATAAACCAACTTTTCCTCCTTTCGGATGAGTGACTGTTTTAATATGATAATATTTGTTCAGGTAAAAGCTTAAGGCAGACATTACACGTATATCACATTTTTACATAAATATATATATTATCATAGATGTTATTTATACGTGATCTAAGCCATTTATGCATAGAAATAGTAGAGCTTTAAAAACAGGATTGGATTCGATTAACTTAGGCCTTTAATTACCTGGCATGACCCATGAAGCCACATTGTGGCTGAATATTCCAATGGGGTCCCTTTAGTATAACATAGCAGCATTATATATAAACTTAGTCCAATATGAACAAAAAAATGTATGTACCATATGCCAACCTCGAGCTCTTAGCAAGTGTGCTCATAGAATCTACATTTGGTTGGTTGGTTGAAGTAATTGTAGTGTACCTGAGTGAGTAGGATGTGTGTCATTCATGGCTTTATGTCAAAAAGAAAACCTTTAAAAGAGCTTGCCCTACATCTCATGTTATGCGAAGTATATATGAGCTGTGTATATATGCTCAGGGGTTTGCAATTCTGACTGTAATTAGCCTATTTAAAACAATAATAATATGAAATGAAAAAAATGCAGGTGAGAGGGAGTACCCATCGTTCTGCCATTGATCTGTTCTGCCTTTGCCTTTATATACCTACACATGTGTCACCACAACATCGTTCTGTTCTGCCTCTGCCTTTATATACCTACACATGTGTCACCACAACTTCGCTCTAATCTGCCTCTGCCTTTATATACCTACACATGTATTACCACAACTTCGCTCTAATCTGCCTCTGCCTTTATACCTACACATGAGTTACCACAACATCGCTCTGTTCTGCCTCTGCCTTTATACCTCCACATGTGTTACCACAACATCGCTCTGTTCTGCCTCCGCCTTTATATATCTACACATGTGTCAGCACAACTTCGCTCTAATCTGCCTCTGCCTTTAAATACCTACACATGTATTACCACAACTTCGCTCTAATCTGCCTCTGCCTTTAAATACCTACACATGTATTACCACAACTTCGCTCTAATCTGCCTCTGCCTTTATACCTACACATTTGTTACCACAACTTCAGTCTGTTCTGCCTCTGCCTTTATATACCTCCACATGTATTACCACAACTTCGCTCTAATCTGCCTCTGCCTTTATAGCTACACATGTGTTACCACAACATAGCTCTGTTCTGCCTCCGCCTTTATATATCTACACAACTTCGCTCTAATCTGCCTCTGCCTTTATATTCCTACACATGTATTACCACAACTTCGCTCTAATCTGCCTCTGCCTTTAAATACCTACACATGTATTACCACAACTTCGCTCTAATCTGCCTCTGCCTTTATATACCTACACATGTGTCACCACAACATCGTTCTGTTCTGCCTCTGCCTTTATACCTACACATGTGTTACCACACCTTCACTCTGTTCTGCCTCTGCCTTTATATATCTACACATGTGTCACCATAACTTTGCTCTAATCTGCCTCTGCCTTTATACCTACACATGTGTCACCACAACATCGTTCTGTTCTGCCTCTGCCTTTATACCTACACATGTGTCACCACAACTTTGCTCTGTTCTGTCTCTGCCTTTATACCTACACATGTGTCACCACAACATCGTTCTGTTCTGCCTCTGCCTTTATACCTACACATGTGTTACCACAACATCACTCTGTTCTGCCTCTGCCTTTATATACCTACACATGTGTTAGCACAACTTCACTCTAATCTGCCTCTGCCTTTATATATCTACACATGTGTCACCATAACTTTGCTCTAATCTGCCTCTGCCTTTATACCTACACATGTGTTACCACAACTTCACTCTGTTCTGCCTCTGCCTTTATATACCTACACATGTGTTACCACAACATTACTCTGTTCTGCCTCTGCCGTTATATACCTACACATGTGTTACCACAACTTCACTCTAATCTGCCTCTGCCTTTATATATTTACACATGTGTCACCACAACTTCGCTCTAATCTGCCTTTGCCTTTATACCTACACATGTGTTACCACAACATCGCTCTGTTCTGTCTCTGCCTTTATACCTACACATGTGTCACCACAACTTTGCTCTAATCTGCCTCCGCCTTTATACCTACACATGTGTCACCACAAGTTTGCTCTGTTCTGTCTCTGCCTTTATGCCTACACATGTGTCACCACAGCTTTGCTCTAATCTGCCTCTGCCTTATACCTACACATGTGTTACCACAACATCTCTCTGTCCTGCCTCTGCCTTTATACCTACATAGTGTTCCCACAACATCGCTCTGTTCTGTCTCTGCCTTTATTCCTACACATGTGTCACCACAACTTCACTCTAATCTGCCTCTGCCTTTATACTCTGCCTCTGCCTTTATATACCTCCACATGTGTTACCACAACATCCCTCTGTCCTGCCTCTGCCTTTATACCTACACATGTGGCACCACAACTTTGCTCTAATCTGCCTCTGTCTTTATACCTACACATGTGTCACCACAACTTTGCTCTGTTCTGTCTCTGCCTTTATTCCTACACATGTGTCACCACAACTTCGCTCTAATCTGCCTTTATACCTACACATGTGGCACCACAACTTTGCTCTAATCTGCCTCCGCCTTTATACCTACACATGTGTCACCACAAGTTTGCTCTGTTCTGTCTCTGCCTTTATACCTACACATGTGGCACCACAACTTTGCTCTAATCTGCCTCCGCCTTTATACCTACACATGTGTCACCACAAGTTTGCTCTGTTCTGTCTCTGCCTTTATTCCTACACATGTGTCACCACAACTTCGCTCTGTTCTGCCTCTGCCTTTATGCCTACACATGTGTCACCACAGCTTTGCTCTAATCTGCCTCTGCCTTTAGACCTACACATGTGTTACCACAGCATCACTCTGTTCTGCCTCTGCCTTTAAATACCTACACATGTGTCAGCACAACTTCGCTCTAATCTGCCTCTGCCTTTAGACCTACACATGTGTTACCACAGCATCACTCTGTTCTGCCTCTGCCTTTAAATACCTACACATGTGTCAGCACAACTTCGCTCTAATCTGACTCTGCCTTTATACCTACACGTGTGTTACCACAACATCGCTCTGTCCTGCCTCTGCCTTTATACCTACACATGTGGCACCACAACTTTGCTCTAATCTGCCTCTGTCTTTATACCTACACATGTGTCACCACAAGTTTGCTCTGTTCTGTCTCTGCCTTTATGCCTACACATGTGTCACCACAGCTTTGCTCTAATCTGCCTCTGCCTTTAGACCTACACATGTGTTACCACAGCATCACTCTGTTCTGCCTCTGCCTTTATGCCTACACATGTGTCACCACAGCTTTGCTCTAATCTGCCTCTGCCTTTATATATCTACACATGGGTCAGCACAACTTTGCTCTAATCTGCCTCTGTCTTTATACCTACACATGTGTCACCACAACATCGCACTGGCACCTGCAGTGCCGAGAGATACCTACACATGTGTTACCACAACATCCCTCTGTCCTGCCTCTGCCTTTATACCTACATAGTGTTACCACAACATCGCTCTGTCACCACAACTTTGCTCTAATCTGCCTCTGCCTTTATATATCTACACATGTGTCAGCACAACTTCGCTCTAATCTGCCTCTACCTTTATACCTACACATGTGTTACCACAACATCGCACTGGCACCTGCAGTGCCGAGAGCTGCACTCTGATCTTATAAAAAAAATACTGTAAGCTATATTTTGTTTAAACAGTTTAATAGACAGGAGTGATGACTGCATGTTCCTGCCAACTTTTCAAGTGTTTTATGAGGTTATGCTTAATATGGTTAGTTAAAGCTTATATATGCTGTGAATTAATTGAGTTTAAGTAATATTAATCAAGATTAATAAAATTCTGGTAATTCTCAGACATGATCATTTATATGAATTATATACGTTGTTTTTGTGCATTGTAGGTTGGTGGAAAGGTTCCTCATGGATGGATAGTATCCTTTGTTGAATACTTTTACTGCTGTAATCAGTGTGTGTAACAGAGCTGACCGTATATAGCGTTGTTACAAGTATTAATATACCATTTCTTGTGACAGGAGGCTAAACTTCCAATATTTTTCTGGGAAACCATCACTATACAGGTGTGAGGTCTGTCACCGACACCCAGTACGGTCTTCACGACCAGGCCATGCTGTTATGTTGATTGAGTTCAGGTGTTAAATCAGGGAGGGACACATTTACTCTCGATGGGAAGGGAATTATGATTGCCTATTTTATGAGAGTTTTCTGGTACAGGTGTAAAGGTGCAGTCTGGTCGCTAGTTAATCCATGGTGAACCTTATCTTACAGTTGTCAATGTAAGTGACGATCTCAGTACCCGTTTACAGAAACGGGAATCATCTGAAGTAACTGTTTTAAGAAACCTGATTATGAAAATACCATCAACCAGTGCTATGCATGGTGAAATCAGTAATGATTTGTATTCATTTCCTTAATTGAGTACAGCAAACCACAACAGCTGTCGACATTTGCCCTTACACTTTTTAACTACGAAACAGAAGTTAACAACCAGAAAGTATCTGTCGGTAAGTAGAGTGCCAGTGACTACTAGTAATTGTCCTCTTAAGTCTGTTTGTGTGTATGTCTGGTGTAAGTGTGTGTGTGTGTGTGTACCAGTGACTACCAGGAATTGTCCTCTTACGTCTGTTTGTGTATGTCTGTTGGGTGTGCGTGCGTGCGTGCGTGACTACCAGGGATTGTCCTCTTAAGTCTGTTTGTGTATATGTTGTGTGTGTGTGTACAGTGTGTGTGTATATGTCTGTTGTGTGTGTGTGCCAGTGACTACCAGGAGTTTTCCATCCTTGTTACATCAGCTATATTTTGAATACTAATACATACATGTGGAATGGTATTTCAGATTTCTGGGACACAGCAGGCCAGGAGAGATTTAATAATATGCATCCATCCTATTACCACCAAGCACATGCCTGTATACTGGTATGTAGGATAAAACTAGAATTACTGACACTACATTAGGGTGTCACACAAGTCATAGTTTTCAGAATAAGATTCATCAGTTTTGTATGAATAATAAAGGCTAAATTTGTTTTGAACACAAACAGGATTTAAAAACTGCAGGCAGGTAGGGGGACGGTAAACATGTATACCCATTCCGCCCCTGATCAATGTTGAAAAAGGGTCATAAAGATGACTCAGCTGGTGGTGCCCCCCCCNTTCCCCTTCGCTCCTAACCCAGGTGAATTTTGATTTTCCTGACTTTCTGGGTTAGGAAGCAAGGGGAATCGATGAACAGAGAAGTAGGGGGCCATTTTAACATCCACTAATGGGCGGAATGGGTAAACGTGTTACCTGTCCTGCTGACTGTCAGCAGTATAAGAGTGCTATTGGGTGAAATATCTCTATGATTTTTGACAGCTGACATTACTGATTCGGCACACTGATGTTTTCAGTGGTTTAGAGTCGAGACACCATTCATTTACACTCTCTGCTTGACAAAGGAAACAGATTTTTTCGAAAGCTTGCAAAATAAGCTTAAAATTCTTGTTTGTGTTTTAATTCTTGTTTTGAACTTTTTTGTTCAAAACAAACTTAGCCATTATCAGTCGATCATAGTGTGTGCTGTATGTAATGATGTGTATGATAATACTATAATGAACGGTAGTATAAATGAGGTTGTTACACCCGTCCATCATAGTGTGTTCTGTATGTAATGATATGTATGATAATACTATAATGAACGGTAGTATAAATGAGGTTGTTTCACCCGTCAATCATAGTGTGTTCTGTATGTAATGATATGTATGATAAAACTATAATGAACGGTAGTATAAATTAGGTTGTTACACCTGTCCATCATAGTGTGTTCTGTATGTAATGATATGTACCACATTATATGTCCAGGCCATTATATAACCCAAGCAAAGTCTGAAAGCTGAGATTGTTTGAAAAGTAGATGTCACTGAATGACTCGAAGGCAGCAGTACTATTTATACAGAGACATAGATAAGGCCTACAGTACTGATATTTAGTCTGACACTTTGTTCTTGACTTTTAACAACTTTTAAACTGGTATGTACAGCTTTCTGATCAAGTTTCTATTTCTTCAAAATTCATATTATTTCAAACCCTTGTTTGCTTTATTCATTTTTAACTTCTGTTTCAGGTTTTTGATTCGACGAGAAAAGTAACATATAAAAATTTATCAAACTGGCTAAAAGAATTACAAGAGTATCGACCAGAAATCCCCTGTCTAGTAGCGGGTAACAAAATAGATGGTGAGTAATGGTAACGTTTAGGAATTACCTCCCTTTAAGGGTGAGACTAGATTTGCGGTGGTGAATCAAATCAGCTAATGATAGGGATTATTTGAAGTATACTTTGTTGCAATTTTGTTGAGTTTACTTTTATTTCATCATTTCATCCACTGCAATTTGGATCTGTTCAGATATACGCAGCAGGGAGGTACTTGTGTGTAACGTCCACTCCTAAACCTAACCTATTACTTCATTTGAAAGAAATATTATGCTAATATATGCAGATCTTTAGGTCTTCTGAAAAAAACACTATTTGTAAAGTTTAAAACCCATGAAAATTGTATAATATGAAAATCCACTATATGCGGCTATTTTAAAAAAAATGGTGTTTGTATCGTACAGTAATATTGTTTGTCCCTGTTAATATGTCTACTAATGAGACCTCCCTAGTCAGTAATGTATCTCTGGTGTCCCTGATAATAGGAGACCTCCCTAGTCAGTAATGTATCTCTGGT